CCTGTGAATCTAACGTTTGTGAAGAAAGAAAGAAAGAAAGAAAAAAGATCTTATTACCTCGCATCTCGACCTCCATTCAAGCGGGCCGCATTTCCAGATTTATCATTAACAAGAAAACTCGGCACGGTTATGCTGATTTTCAAAGAACCCAAATAAAGGTGCGTCAATAAACACAAACTAGTAAGAATTATGCATAATGTTTCAATGGCTGCGTGCCTACGGCGGGAACATGATACATAATCTTTTTTCTAACGAATTCATTCACCTTCTTGTGACCCCGTGTAATATTCGATGAATCCGATGAACTCTAAATTCGTCAGTCGCACCAACAGATGAAACAATAGCCAAAACTTTCTTGGCTGCGATTTAGGTCACCGCAACATAAAAACTTATTAATAGTAAATGCGCGCGCGCGCGCACACACACAGCTATACCAAGCCGCCGGAAGTATCACAAGGAGTTGACAACCTTATTCAAGAACTCTTTGTCGGATCCCATTTTATTGACCAAATTTGCACATGCAGTAGTTTCCCGAGAACTTTATAACACTTATTCGCTACGTACGTGCGTGTTTCCAATGTCTCCAATACGAAATGCCTGATATGATCGAATTTACCGAATTTGCACCACAAGTTTCCATACACATCCGACACCTGCCGTGTCTGTGAAATAAGGGACCTTTCCCTTTCTTTGATCTTTCTTCGCGCACAATATACTGTACACATGTGTACAGTATATTAAAGAATTCCATAAACGCACACACGATAAACCACAATAGTTACATTTCCTCCTCATGGCCAATTTAAACTAACTGGTTCATGCCATTTTTCGACATTTTTGGCCATTCAGATGTCGGGACACTGGCGTACCTAGACGTTTGCATTGACTTGTTTTCCAAAACTCTTCTTTAAGAATTTCACGAGTGACCGATGAGATAACGACGGACAAACAGTTATGCGCCACGAGTAGATTTTATTAGATTTTTCATTTCATTTCATTTCATTTTTTTTTTTTTTCCTGTGTTGAATTTGCATATGTACAATGCGTACAGCAAATATGCAAGCACCTTTTACTCTATGAAGCCCTAAAGATAAATTTGCGCCCGCGGTGTGATTAGTCGATTGGCAGTTGGTGCGATGAAGTGTGAATGAAATAAATACCCTTTGTACCCACGCAACGAAAACATCACCAGAGCGGCTTCCCTCCACCAAAAAAGTCTGCTGATCGAATGTGTCACATCGCAGATTGTCGCTCATGAACCACCGCATGTACTTTCTCAAATTACAATTATCAAACAATTCCTGGATTTGGGTTCAATCAAAATATATTCCTAAAAAGAGCATAAAGGATGGAGGTACGTAGTATGTTGTGCATGGGAGGGGGGAGAGATGATACACCTTTCACCCAATTTCGACCCGATTTTCCTCACCCTAAGCTTTTTAATGCATAGTTGTTGAACTTGGCTCACCTTATTTCGTTGTAAACACAGTCTTTTCCGTTAAAATAGAAACTCCTCGAGTCACATATGTCATGATGCATGGATTCCGTGCATGGAACAAAACAATGTGTTCTATTATTATTGTCGAGGTATGCCCATGCGGAATAGAATTTTTAGCTTGATGACACAGCTTATGAGTGTGTTTGGTAAAGGCGAACTCTTTCTAAAGTTAGTTGGAAAGAAAAAAAAAGAAAAAAAGGATTTGGATGTTGAGGTGGTTTGCTTCCACGAGGACAAAACGATGTGCGAACAACCCACCTTTGCGCTCCGAGTTGGTCATACGCGGAGCTTCAGCTTTTCGCTCCGAAAATTTTCGTAGGATCGAAAGGGTCAATTAGAATTTTGGATTCTCACATGCCCTGAAAGGATTTTCTTTTTTTTTTTCTTTTTTTTTGGGGGGGGGGGGGACAGAGTTCATGAAATCCTTCGAATGAACCTTAATCAATTTCAATTTCCGGGCATCATTGCCATTTCAGTCAATTTCATTATCGTCATTATTCGGAACGCATTTCACGTTGTACCTTCAACCTGCAGAATTTGTTCTCGATGTGTGTCAGCTAATATCCGAGGCATTACGCTTGAACCAATGACAGTTAACATCTTCCTTTTTGGTGAATGGGAAATTGAATCGCACTATTTACCTTCGGGTGTTTACACGTAAACAACAATACATTCAAACCATTTTCTTATTCATCATAGCAGATTTTCATTTTCGGAACACATGCGCCCTTTCATTTGCACATTAATTTACTTATTTGAGGTTTACTTGTTTGAAATAACCTTGTGTTCGTGAACCGAACGCGTACTGCACTAATGCCCACACAATACTTGAGTTTTGTTGATCCGAAGAAATTGAGGTCGAAGGTTCCGTTTTGGCTTTCGGATTTTCGACTCAGCCGGTTTCTGTGCTCTCCTCGATACCCGTGTGTTCTCCTTGACACAAATCCTTGTTCGCCAAAATCGTAAGCCCCATTGTTGGAATCGTCAAACGTGACGGTCAGGTTCCGATGGAAATTTCTTGATCATAAAAAAAAAACAAAAAAAGTTCGGATCATGAGTTAAGAATGAAGGAGAAAAGGGACAAACTCCTGAATAAACAGGTACAGTACTTCGGAGCAAACAGGTCTGAAGATTTTCAAGTGGCAAGATTATAAAGACTATTTTGTAATGAAGCACAAGATTGTGAGCACACGCATGAGAGATTACCTTAATGGTCCGTTTTAAGCAATGGCAAAGTCACTTTCGGAGTGCATCAAGGAATCACAATCATTGTTTTTTTTTTTTGAAGGTCACCTTCCTGCGATCTCGTGATCATTTTGGGGGTGATATTTCTCATGTGACTGCGGTGAGCCAAATTTCATATTCGCAGAGTGGAGTTTGACGCATGGAACGACGTGTGTGCGTAAATCGGAATAACCTTTTTGTCATTCTATTCATATTTTATTCATCTCGTGAAACTCAGCAAATTCATGAATGGACACATTTTGAATTGTCATTTAGAATGAACCTTTATTTGAAACAGGCTATCGTGTGGTTGAAGCACGTGGCCCACCGGATCAAAATAATCATTTTTGCGGTTTTTTTTTCGACTGACCCCACAAGACTCCTTGGGAGAGAAACCGGAACCTCACCGAAGATTGATTGATAGTGCCGACAATATCTTCCACCGTGAGCACGGGCGAATCAACTTGAAATTCGGTGAACCGGTCAAAGGTCAAGATCCACATACATTCTTGTTTGCACTAAACTTCTTATCATCCAATCAATCAAAGTATCACCTTCATTGGGAATGAATTCGGTGGTTGACTTTCGACCTAAAGGTTTGACCAAAACATTCTTGTTTTCCATAGTTGGCGGTACGCATCAAGAATTTCGTTCGGTTAGCAATAATGTCCAATTTCACTAATCGGCGGACTCATAGATAAACCCGATCCAAATATTGCGAATGGGTGAACAGGGAAGTGAGTGAAGCATGGTGTGACATTGTGTGAGTGGGTAAGTGGTGACCTTTCCTGTTGGGCGAAGTCGGTCATGGTTGAACTAATATTTGTCGCAATTTTGAATAAACTCCATTTCAACACATCAATAATGGAACCATCTAAAGAAGACCAATCTGATTAGTTTTTAAGGTGATGCAAGAGGTGGCTTATCGAAGTGCAAATACCAGAAACGAGGTGAATGAAATCGAAAAAAAGAAATCATTGAACACATCAGAATGTCGCACAAAGCATTTAGGATTCATCGCACAACGCAGTTTTATAGGAGAGCCAAGAAGAAAAAAGAATTGCACCGGCAGTCGAACCGACTTCAAACTATCACTTGTGATGCGGGCACATTTTCTTTTTTCTTTCTTTTTTTTTTTTCAATGGTGCAAGAGAAAATGAGAATCAACATCACACAAGAATTGTATGTGAGCCAGCACTGCAAAAGAAATAGCAGTCAATTTTTTATTGATTTTTCTTTTATGACAGGTAGTCGGAAAGTATCAGTATCATAAAATCAAAAAGAAAAAAAAAAGTTGCTATAATGACCCTATCAAAGGTGCACTTAAGAGAATTATAAAAGCGGAAGAGAGGTTGTATGTTACATGTGGGAGAAAGTTGTACATAAAGAATATAGTAAGAATAAAAATAATGGACATGAAATAATCTGAACGCGTTAACACGTGATGCAACCAAGGGAAACGCGCAATATGTATGGTGAGCTGAAAACCCTGTTTGACAATGGGAAGCTCCACTTCCAATCATCGGGGTTCCTAAACCTAACCTACTGTGATAATTTAGTTTCCGAATCCAAAGAGGGCGGATACAAAGAAAAATCATACCCATGAAGATACCCGTAGATTTTTATAACTCAACTCATCACAATTCCAACCCAGGCGTCCGGGCGTTTAAGGAAGGAACGAGATGAGCAATAAGACAAAAAAAAAAAAAAAAAAAAAAGATAGAATAAATAAAGGGAAAAGAAACAATACCATAGATATATATATTTATAAATGCATAAAGATTCGCTATAGAAAAAGAAGATAAGGTATATTTGAGCAAAGAAAAGCAAAATAAATAAGAGTTGGTTTCTTCATGATCAAACTTGTTTGGTGATGAGTTTTGTTTCGTTGTTTTTGGTTGCTTTTTTTTTTTTTTTTTTTTTTTTGAGAAGGAGAGGGTGAATGATCAAATACGGCCTTGAACTTCGTGTGTCGCGTTGAAAAAAAATTCTATTCCCGGTGGACCGAAAAACACATCGAAAAAATGGACGTGGGCTTTTGATTTTCACGCATATAGGAATTTGAAGAAGGTTTAGCATAAATTGGAAGTCAGATGATGGCTTGTTTTTTTGGGGGGGGTTTGACTAAAAAGTGAAAAGTGAAATTTGTTTTGAATTTTTTCGGGTGTGCGCTCAAAGTCCAAATCAACTTTTTCCATCGATATCTCAAAGAGTCTTGCTGCACTTATCATCACCACCGCCTTATCATCAACCGAGTTTTCCCCCTATAACCCAAATCTCAATAGACCTCAACGATTCCCTCTGCCATTATCTCAAATCCATCTTCTTCGGCTTCCGCTATGTATGAATCCAAGATATCGAATGCCTCTTTACCAAGTTTGAGGAACTTTATGTTCTCATAGAACTTGGTGAAATTTTCCGGTGTAATTACATCCAGCCACGCATCATCATCATGATGATATAGCCAATGCAAAATTGGCTCGAGGCAATCCGGATGGGGTATGGGAACCGTCAGTTGCATTGGCGGTGAACAGAAGTGTGGTGAGGTAGGCGAGATAGGCGATGAGGGTGGTTGATGCCGATTTAAGGTGCACAATGATGGAGAGGAATTATTTATGGGACCAAACAATTGATTGAAGAATCCTGACTGCGATGCCAAGATGAGCGTGTGGGTGTGGAAGTAATAGGGCGTGGACTGTGAGAGATCCGTGACAGTCGGTTTGCTGTTGGGTGTGTTGGGGTTGGCGTCAGCGTTCGAGCAATGGGTCGGGGATGCCGGCGGGGAAGGTAGCAGAGATCGTTGATCAATATTGTGATCAATGAAATATTGAGAATGATGATTCAACAGTTGTTGGTAACTGTATATCATGTAATTAATACAATTTGTTAGGACGGCAGCGTCCAACGCATTGACATCTTCATGGCATTTGGTGGCTATGGGCATCGATGATTTCGATGGTATTTGTTGTTGTTGTTGTGCGTAATTTCTGCATATCGACAAGTTTTGAGCGAAACTCTGGTGAAAACACTGATCAAAGTATCCACACCAAAGGTTGATTTCCTCGCATCTCACGACCTTTATAAGGTAATCTGCCGTCTGACTGTTCTCCCAATGCAACGGACCTATCTCATCGAGATTATTGAGAAAGTAGCCGACCGGAATGATTCTATCCGAATATGGGTCCTTGTATACTGACGGGGTGTGATCCGTTGGTTTGTAAACGGGAAGAATGACCCTTTTGTGACTCGCGAGTTTGCCCATCTTTTTTCTGTTGTGGTTTTGCTTTGGAAAAAATGGTTTTCTTTTTCTGTTTGAGAGCGAAAGGGCCGGTGTCGACGATGAAAGTTGCTTGTGAGACGATTAAAATTACGAGCAAAGCCGTAGAGAATTAATACGAGGAGTTATAGTTCGCAGAAATTAAATTTATGATTTTGGATATATGCTAGGAAAAAAAAAAAAAAAAAAAGGTTTATGCAATTGTGGAAAAAACTTTTTAAATCAATCAAATCATTATTTTATTTTATGTATTTGGCTTATTCGTTGGTTCTCTAAAATCTATGCTTCGAATTTAGCAATGCGAGGAGAAAAAAAAAAAAAAAGTACGAAAGAAAATTCAAATGGCTTTTATAATGAAAGGCCAAATACTAGACTATCTATATATTGCTTATCAATTGCGAAAAAAGGGAAGTCTACATGTATTCACATAACATAAAAAAAAAATTTTTTTTTTTTTAACCTATTGTTGCCTAAAATAGTTAATAATGGATTTTTTTTTCTGAAGAGATAGTTTTCTTCACGTCGACCACAGGGGAAAGAAGTGAAAGGCGCGGCGAACAGAATATGGGGGAAATCAGAAATCTCACTATCGGAGGAAGCATCGGATTGTGAATAATATGGATAAGAAGTGTGCGTGTAATATTTCTTCTTTTTCTTTTCGTATTTTTTTTTGTTATGTTATTGTCATAAATAAATGTAAACGCCACCACTTCACTATGGTATATGTGAAGTGTAGTGTGACTCATAAATTAAAAAAAAAAGAATTTGTGATGTGATGTGTGAAAAAATCACATATGTTCCTGTCACGTGATTCATGTGAGTTTAACTAGACGAATATGTAGTTAAAAGGTGTACCCTTAACTTTTTTCGGTATAAGCCGGATGTGCCACACGGTTACGTCACCTAATAGGCTATCCGAGAATTTTTGATTTTAGAAAATGTATATGAAATGTATATGACATTTTTATTTTAAGCAACATGCTAGCCCAAATTTGGAAAAAAATGGAGGCGTTGAAAAAAAAAAGCTATGTACGTGTGTTGCAGGCTGAATTCGATGTGGGGGGTTATTGTTCCTTAACCTCGCATGGATTTACCAAGATATTCATCGAGGATTTACTGTACATGTCCTTCGCTAACGCGGGCCGTGGGCCTTCGCGCGCGGGCAGTAGGGGACATCACTGAAGCACCTATAAGAAGCGTACTCATGCTTATTACCACACCGCATTACTCATCACCAAAATATCCTGACGTAATGAATGTGCTTTACAATTCTGTCGATCGCCTGTTCTTGTTTCCTATCTATGTGCAAGCCACCTCTATTATTCACCGAAACAGTCGATACCTCTTTTCGCCGATTCAGGTCGATAATTTATCCTTGAAAGGGGTCACACGATTCGTGTTAACAGATTTCCACTTAGCGGCGTCTCCTGAGTCAAACAAATTCTTAACATCGGAATGAGCGAATACAAGAATATACAAAAAGAGAATTCGGCAATCCATATTTGGAAAACAAAAAAAAAAAAAGAATTACCAAACCTTTGAGAAGAAGAAAGGATACCTATTATTTCCAACCAATGACGAAACGCCGATGCACATCTATATTATGCGCATGAAGCGAAAACACATCCTAAAACATGGAACCACGAGCCACATCGATGAAGAAGAGAATTGATATCACGCGATCAATCCACGTCCATTGACGTATTCTTGTCGTGGTCGCACCATGCCTTGCTTAATTCAACTTAATGTAACACTCATAAACCTTCTAACCTAACAACACGAAAGATGACAATAAAATGAATTTACCAATGTTACATGTCGCTTACTGTTGAATGAATAAACAGGGTACAACATATAATGGATGAATGGATAAATGAGTCGATCGGCATCAATTTATCTCATATATTGTATATGACATACTGTACACTTGTGCGGTGTGGTCTAGGAAAGAATTACAGTACGTGAAAAAAAAAGAAGAAGAAGAAGAAGAGGAAGAAATTACTAGTACTGTATTCATGCATTGCAATGTAAAGCAAAGGAGAAGAATACAGTAGAATAATAATAATAACAATCAGAGGTGCGTAACAACCTGCGAGGTCAATATACATTGTGTCGGCAATTGTGATCCACCGGCATGGTCTAGAAACCCAAGAAACTATGCGTGCCTTGATCAAAAACGAATAATCATGGGAAACCTTGAAACAAGAAATATTACACATTCCACTCTAATTATTGCAATAAATTTTAGGAACTCTCAGGTGTCACACACAATCTCAGTATATTCAGGGATTGGCTTAATAAAAATGCACAATAATTTCCGGATATAATCATCGTGCCTCCAATTATCGGACCTCTCTCATATACTGTGATACGACGCTTTGACGCTGTTGGCAGCGATCAGAATGATTATTTTGCCGATCAAGAACGACAATTAGATCCCCCAGTTCAGGTGCTCGTAATAATTCAATATGACACAATACCACGGCAGATGACACGGTTGCACGAGCTTTAATGTGTACTCAGTCGTAAGGTTCGCGATGAAGAATCACATCAAAACAAATTATTTTTAGAAACCGTAAACCTTGTCAATAATTTGCAATCATCATACACGCATGCATGAAAAGTTTTTTCTTCTTGACAAATGCACTTCATTTTCGGATTTGAGTGGTACCGGGATTTCCACCGTTATGCGGACAATTCGTGGAGAGCATGATCCCCCCCAATCCTGTGAAGAGTAAACGATCACGATAAGATGCTGTCAGATGTGCCATCAAGGGGATTGTTCATTGCACAGAGTTCGACCGAAAGAGTTTCAGAACTTTAAGCGATTCTTCTCATGGACCCACACTAGCGTTGATTCGTCATCTGAAACAGGAAATAAATTTTTTTAGCCGTGAACAAAGGCATTGGTTCTCTTTCATGGATTACTGGATTTGGAAATAAAAAAAAAAAAAAAAAAACTCCAATCGTCATTTGTGCATTTGATCCTAGAATTCTATTCATGTCCGTTACCGAATCCCGAATTGAGTCTACTACAGCTCAGAAGCGATGATGCAAACGGTAAATATACGGAACGCGAGAAGAGAAAAGAACATAATACCAACGTACAAACCATTTATGGCAAATGAATGGTCCGATGATACACGCATACAATAAATTACTATGATGACGATGGTGATGGTGATGATGATGATGGTGATGATGATGATGATGGTGATGATGATGATGATGATGATTCTACCCTTTCTTGGCACATAAGAAAAATAAGACGCGGCAGTCGGGGAAGGTGTGAATGTTTTGTTTCCTGCATGAATCTTTGGCAAAAATATTTTCATCACATGCGGAATGAATGGATACGGAGGTGAGATTTCTCGGAATAGATGTCATTCTGGTGTGTAATGTTTCGTATATGGGAAACAAGAGCCAACGACCAAACATAGGAATGATTGGAGTTTCTGTGTGGAGCAAAGTTTATTTTTAAAAAAGCGCAAATGTACAAAATCTATTGTCTTCGGTTGCGAAAGGAAACGGGGATTTCAGGGGAACGCGAAATCACCAATCAAAACCCCGCGATTAAATTAAATCACGTGATTACCGAGTACACATTTTCTCGTGATTTCGGGGCGATCTTTCAACTGAGAATTGCGCGAGATTCTGGAACGAAATTCATAGCACTAGAAGGTTCATGCGGAGTGACGACGATGAATTTAATTAATCTATTTTGATTGATCTCGTAGAATTACGATAGTGATTAACGCCTGGACATTCCAAATGTGAACAAAAAATGACCTTGAACGAAAATATCACCACTATGAAAATAGAAAATTGCTCTCTGGTCGGAAGCAGAGAATGATTTTTTTTTTGTTTTAAAAAAAAAAAAAAAAAGAATTAATTAAAAAATTAAAATGAAAATCAGGAGTATGAAAATTCACAGCACAAAATAGAAAGAAATCTTAAAACTGCAGTCGTCTGTAATGTGATTTTTTTGTTTATGACAGATTTGGTGGATCGCGCCATTCGGTGAGGTCATTGGGGAGATCATTCCATGCTTGAGACTTGTCATCGGCAAGATAATTCGGTGTTTCTCCGGCAATCACTATGAGCATCCTTTGGATCTACGAAAAGCAAGAACGCTGGCAAAACTTGTGGTGGATCACATTAATTGTGACCCAAACGTGTTCACGTGTGAAAAATTAGTTGTGCAGAAAATTCCTGATATAGAAAGCTTGACAAATATGTATCGTACATGGAGGACAAACGGGAAAATTCAAGAACGCATGTCTGCATCTCCTCGGTCCATCCATACCCCGCGCCTCGACCCAGCCACACACACATGATGCGATTTAGTGTTGAAGTAAGTTCAAACACATTAAAATATATATGCAGTATACATGGTATATATGGGCAATTATTCTTGAAGGCGATCAAAATACTAAATATGATTTTTTCTGCCCTCATTTTTTAATAATACGTACTTTATATAATGCCAATTTTAGGATCACAATTATATGGTCCGAAAAATCCCTGTCCGCCCTCGAAAATAATTACCCATATGCGGCGGGTGTACTGTATGTACTGTATATATTGGCGAATCTTCCAAAACTGGTTACAGCATAAGAATGAAATTTATACAACATATTTTATTCGGCCATACGAGATGGTTAACATGTAACGATCAACTCGCCCGGATGATATTCATTAATAATAAAGTTTTCTCTTTTTTTTTTATAAATGATAGTATTGTGAAGGCACAAAATGGAACCCTTGGATCATGACATACATAGCATGAATGAATATTATTCATGGGCATGCATCTCTTAAACCATCTCTCCGTCACCATGCGTGTTTCATTGTGAAAATTTACGAAAAGGAATCCTTAAACACACTCTAGTATGGGGTTTCCCTGTTACATGCCCTTTAAGTCATGCATTCAATCCCATCAGTTAAAAATTTTTAAGGGACACGGATTGGCTGATAAAAGTTTCATGATCTCTCTTAATAGGAATTTAATCCGAAGTTATATGCGCCTCAGTTTTATCGATGACACCATGTATTCCATTGTTGTCCATATATGGATGTTAGAATAGGTAAACAGGAGTCGTTTGTTCACACAAGAACAAGGCGACATCATCACTTACAGTGGGACCGACTCAAACAGAGGAGCACATAATAAGAAATCTACCATAAGTATACTCTCATTTGGTCTCCGCCGATACAAAACTCGCGTATTATTTGAATGACTCAGTAACGTATCCCCTTCATCGAGGTACGTAAGTGTATATGTACTGTATGTATGTGCTTTGTGTAATTTCCCTTTGTGTGTGTACCGCATTATTACACATTTCTCAATATTCACGTCGCGATTCACGGACTGGTGAATGTGCTTACTTGCTCACTTTACACACAATATTTTTTTTTTATCACACTATTGTTGTTTTCCTTAAACGTCAAGATCCAAAAAGTGATTTCTTTTTCGTGTTAACCTTTACTTTTTTTGGTAACATATCAGGAGGAGGGTACATTTCATCTACTTTAATGGTCATATGGATCACGGCTACCGAAGTTCTTTGTGATTTTTGTCCCCGTGTACAACAGCCTTCTTCTTTTTTTTTTTTTTATATATACATGCAAAAATTACACCAAGAAATTCTACACGTCTATGGTCACAGTGAAGATCGAGCTATGTGGGTCCGAGGGAATTGATGAAACGGAAACAAAATGAATAAAAAAATGAATAAAAAAGTAAAGAATGAAACTATTTAAAAGTAAACTCATAGTCGGCAGCATGTATCGCACATAGATGGCACTCACTCTTCGTGTAATCTTATCAAAAAGTTCCGAATGCACAAGTGAAATATAAAAATGGGATGGAAACTATTTTGGTTAAATTAATAAATATCTCGAATGGCGTAATCTCCGCCGAGACTCTACTATTGACTTCCCCATTTATGGTTGAATGGGCAAATGAATGACCGATTACAAAATTACTTAAAAGTTTTCTATGAAAAACATCATCGTCGGAGCCGGGTCACCAAATTTCTGGCAAGTTTCCCCGTTGCGGTTATATGCGCTCACCATCGCACAAAACTCTCGGTCACCTTTCGTAGGTGTATGCTCAAACGTGATTGGTTGACAAGGTTATCCCGAGGTTGTGATAATGAAATTTGAGGAATTTGTTTTGGTGAGAATGGTAATTGAACCAAGGATGGCGATGTCAATGATAGATTCATTCTTTTCTTAATACGGGATTCGCCATCCTGTTAACCATTTTCTTATACCATTAAATATCATGTGTGTAAGACAGGAAATTTTAATTGTTCCCATTGTAACATCTAATTTAATTGTGAATTTACCTAATTA